TTTGAACTTTGTCAGTGACTCCATTAGAAAGAGCACACTCGAAAACCTACAAAAACATATCTGAGAGATCTTTCCAGCGCTTTAAAATCCAATGTCCACATGCCTAGGCAAAATTGCCCACTGTGCAATAACGAGTTATTTCGTCTACTATAAGTTTTCACTAGAATTCAGACTATTATTCCGAAAACTAACTTGGGCACAAGATTCAACGTGATCGATGGCCTATGCTTGCATCTGTTTTGAAGGCTTCCGACCTAAAAGCTAAAAGTCACCGAATTTGATTGTCTCCGGAGAATTATTGCGCTTGAACAATATAGACCAATGAATCTGTTCAGGTATTGAATAGTATTTTTATTGTTAGAATATCCACCGACATATTCATCCACATCATATGCGATTTTGTAGCCCGTAAAATTCTCTACTGAATGACATAGAAAGTAGAGTGGTTCATGACAAATTAAATGAATGGTACGAAGATCCGTGAGGTTGACCTATCGATTTGCTGCGATACTAATGAGTATTTCGGATCTTAGACTACCCAGATTTTTTTTGTAGTCCATGAAATTTTCTATCGAACGGTTTGTCATACTGGATATTTGCTTTAGGCGAAAGAGGTGAAAATACTTTGAGTAAAGGTCATTTAACGCGAGAGTTGTTTTTAGCTAAAATGTTTTAATGAATTCACAAACAAAAACACAGAAATACGAGCTCTGACTGTGCACAGATGATGTGGACGAAAAAAAAGCCAGTATATATAGAATAAAGCGTGAATATATATACCACCGTACGAAAATATCGAGATCGAATGACTAAAACTGTATATGTGGCAACAGAAACAGTCACCTACTAAATGTATGATCATGAAAAATGAGAAAGAACGAAAACGAACAAAATGGAAAAAGAAATGGGTTACAAGAAGTGGCAGTGATAAACTCATCTTTCTCAACGATTTAAAATTACAGCGAACACCAACATCACTACAATTACCTAGAAAAAACTGAAAAGTGGATTTTTGAAAGTCTATTTACATTTAAACAATTTTGAAATATTGACTTTTTAAAAATGGGCAAAATTCAGCAAAATTTTCAAGAAAAAGCAAAATTTGAGGATTTATTGTCTTTTCAAAATTTTGGTACTTTTTTTGCCTGATCTAGTGAGCAAAACAAAATCAAAAAACAATTCTGCTTATCTTTTGAATTGCCGGCCCCTTACCAAGAGTTGGCGAAATAATATGTTTTTGACCGAAAATGTTGACAATTTTTACACAAATGATTTGGAATATGTCTTTCGATATCAATTTTAAGATATAAAACCCAGCTTGAACCTCTTCCTTGTTTGAGTAATTTGCATAATTCAAAACTTTGAGGTAGACACAAGAAATAATATTACCCTTATCTGACTACTTTAATTTTTTTCGAATTTTTAAATTGAAAAATAACCGAGATTTTTACCGCAAAAAGAAAATCAACTACTCAATTTTGGATCCTGATTCCGAATATGATATTTTTTTGATAGAAACTAGAGTTCCGATAGAGAAAATTGAGAATTTCGAGCAGAACTGATTGTGACTTTTTCGCCTCTGATTTAGAAAAAAAATTTGCTGAGGTACGAAACAAAATTTTAAAAATAACTTTTTATACACTATTGTCTATTTTATAATATCACACCGACGTATTTCACCAGGCATCATTTTGTATGGTTAAAAAACATTCAACGAACATATCATGAAGAAATGAAGCAAATATGTTGCAGAACAATTAAGAAATTCTCGGTGAGCTTTCAAAAAGTCCTACTGTTTTGCTTTCTAGTTCAAACCCTTTGAAGGATTGTACAATGTTCAGAGAAGGTGTGATTGCTTTAGCAGAGTCGGAAAAAGTTAGCTGACGTCTTGATTTGCTCGAAATGTAAGTGACTAGGAGTTTCTCAAATTTTTAAAACTTGAATTATTTTAATAATTAAAAAGGGTTTCGTTTGAGTCTTCAATGAGCGTACAGTATACATCTGGAGTTGTACAGTCAATTGGTACTATTTAAACTATTTTCAGTGTTTTCTACTAAGTGGCACTAGCGTAAGTGTCTCAAATTTCTTCTACAGTAGTTTTCTGGCAAACTCTGCGGCTTCAAAGGAACGCACTATCCGCGAAAACGATTACACAACACTTGGATGGATTAACGTTATTATTCGTAATTGGTTACAAATTTATTTCTCATAAGAAACAGGTGTGGGTACCTAAATGGTTTCTGGAATACCAAGAGCTTTAACAGCAATGACACAATCTGTAAACTGTCTGGTATTGTTAAGAAACTTGTAGTTAATGAAGTCTGATTTTTTAAAGTATATTGACTATGTCTGTCCGTCTGAAAAATATATAATGAGATTTTTCTTATTGCTGCGAGTACTTGCCGCAACATAGCGGCGGAATGCTGGAATTTGAAAATCTTGATATAGTGACTTTTCATCGGTTCGAAACTAACTCGTATGGTGTATTAAACGTCGCTGTTAACTCTATTGATGTAAAGAAAAACAAGGTCAAAGTTGCTTCATTCTAAGACAGGTTAAAATTTGACATCCCTAAACAGCCATGTAGTATATGACTTTTCTAGTACAAATGTGTTATTCTATGTAACTTTCTATGTTCTACACGACAGGAGTGTTGCAATTTTTACGGCTATTATGTCTGTGTAAAGTGGGCGGATCTGAATAGATGTACCCAACTGCAAGCATCGCTCGGATTCGAGACAACTTGCCATCGATTACTTGATCAATTTTAGCCTGTCCTTCAAGTTCCGTAAAGAAATAAGCGGACCAAGTTCTTTCTCTCGTCATCACTATTTTGAATTTTCTCCAATCTTTTCGCTTTTCGTGAGCTTCTGTCAAAGCAGGTGGATGGAGGACTTAACCGACTTAATTCTTTTACAAGATCATGCTAATTTTCATTACTATGCTCGCACGATTTTCTCTGACAAGTTCAACACATTCTCTTTGTTTTAGTTTTGTTAAACAGAAAACTAAAACTTTCTTTATAAGAAAACCGTTGCGATGCGTGTTTTCTCTAGGATAAAATGCAAGATCTAGTGTAACTTATGTTGTGTCGAATCAGTTAGATTTCTTTGGATAGGATGACATTAAGAACCAATGTTTTTCAAGTAAGCAAAAGTTTAGAACGGTTGGTTACGCTACATAAAAGTGTATTTAATAATAACATATTTACAAAGTTTGGAGTCTGTAAAAGTTGTTGCAATGAAGAGTACATACACTCTTAAATATATTCTGGAAAAAGAGATTTAAAATTCATGCATTTTCAATCCTGATGTTTTTTCCTGCTGAACAATCACACCGTACATCTCTAATCAGAAAGTGTAGCTTCGTTCAAAATCATTTGGAAGTTTTGTACTATTCTAATCTGTGAATTATCAGCAAGTAAAAAGCTTTTTTACTCTATATCACTGGAAGAATTTTCTCTTATATCCTTAATTTGTAAAGGCCATTCTCTTCAATCTCTTTGAATTAATCTGTCTCATTCTTAATTATCAGAGAAGCTTGAAATATGGGTTATTCATAGAAGAAGCGCTGAAATTTTTGATGTATCTTTAACATTCGTTCTGTAAAATGAAAACAAAAAGGTATTTATGAATGTGGTTGTTTTATTGACATATTCATTGCAAGGTGTAGTGTCCCAGAAGTTTGTCTTTTGGGTAAAAAACCAAGAGTTTTTTAGTTCTATATAATGTGAAAGATGCAGAAGAGCGTACATATATAAGCGTATACTCAAAACATGGCTAGTAGTCTTCGTCAAACGAGTAATGTAGTACACGTTCCCGACAACTGTGTTGCCAATTTAATGTACTATTTGAATTGTGTTCTTGATCTGATTGATTATAATGATAACAATTTGTATAAATTTTGCGATTACGAAAATTATGATGATCTATCTGCACAAGAATTACGTGTTCTCTGGGTCTTATGTCTAACATTATCACCTGATGAACTTATTGATAAATGTATGTTTCAATCGAACGTTCTATGTGGAACATCGACGAATCGATTTTACGAATTATCACAAACGCAACAACTTCGTCTAATGGTATCAAGCACAATATTTATTGGTGGACAAGCGAGACGTGTAAAAAAATTTATGGCCTACAGACAAGTATGGATGGTTAATAATTATATACAACCAATGTTACAATTACCAGGAGCCATTCAACGACAGATACAATTTGAACAAGTAGCAGAAAATATATCTCAAGCATGTATAATTTCATAAGACTATGTGTACTAATCGTTCAATGTCAAAAACTAAAACTGGATTTTAATTAAACACGAAATAATTTATAGGAACAGATGAGTTAAGAGCTGAACTTTCGTAGATTAATTTCTTATAAGTACGCTTGTTGGTGTACCCATTGGAACTTTTAAAGAATTTTAAATTAATGCACACTAATTTCTGACCCAAAAAAAGATGAAAAATTATTTTACATCAATTTAAGAGACCAAATTAATTTAATTTGTTTGTAGTAAATTAATTTACATCAATTTCGCAGTTAAAATGAACTAGAATTAATTTCTTCGCTAAAATTAGCTCCAATTGGTTTAAAAAAATATCAAGTGCTTTCGACTAGTGTTGGAAAGCGAAGAAAAACATGTCTGTTCGAACTTTGATCGTAATATATTGACAGTTTTTCTATCAAATTTTGTGGCTTCAGATACAATTGATTGTTCGTCAATAATCGTCCTATCATTAAGTTTGGCACTGATATTTTTTCATTATTGATAGTCACCGATAATTTTTTTGTTATGTGTAATAGAATGACTTTCAAAAATATTTGTTGTTTCGTACGAAAAATTGCTGTAATCTGACCGGCTTTTTCTGTTTGTTCTAATTTAAATAACACGGCATAATCGGTTTTATTTTTCTGTTCGAGTAGAGTATCAATCGTAAATCGAACATCTTTTATATATAACATCGAAAAATACTCAATCAGGTTGTTTTCACTCAATTTTTTTCAAAAAAGAAAAAACTCAGTCTCAAGAGTATATCTGATATAGTTAGAAACTAAGTTTCCCGAAGAAACTTTTTGCGAGGACAGTCAATGACAGTCTCAGAAATTCTTGAAAATATTTCTTAACCGAAATCAGTACCTATTTTGGTTTCAAAAAACTTGAAATTAATTTGCATTAATTTTTTTGTAATTATTTACATTAACTTTGGGTACAAAATTTCGTTCAGATTAATTTTTGATTTGAAATTAAATTTAGCAAATGTTTTCTAAATCAATTTGAATGAATTAGTTATTCTAAATTGATTTAAATTAATTTACGAACAGAAATTAAATTTGTTTACAGCACTGCAAAGAAATTTGAGTCTATAAATTACTTTACATTGCTTTCCAGTATCAAATTAATGTACATTATTTTTCTTCAAATCAATATAAATGAATTTTTTGATCGAAATTAATTTAAACCAATTTTCAATCAAAAATTTGTGCCAACCGATTTAACGAAAAATAATATGCATCAATTTGGTATTGAAAATTAGTGTAAATTAATTTATAGACTCAAATTTCTTTGCAGTGCTGTAAACAAAATTAATTTCTGTTCGTAAATTA